TTTTGATGATAGAACTGTTTTTATTAAGTTTGGGACCCTTTTTCATCATGGTATGCTGTTTTTTCAGCAAAAAAGTGAAGGTACCTAATTTTTATCCATAATAAACAAATCTCTATAAAAGGCAGGATGTGTGTGTGTGTGTGTGTGTGTGTGTAACGAATGCATGGCCGCAATATTCGATGAATTTGCACCAAAATTTACATGCACATGCTCCAAATTAGTGGGAAGGCCAAGACCTACTTTGCATTTCCCAACTCCCATCGATAGTGGAAATAATCGATTTTTTTATGCTTCTATGGCAGTTTTCATGTAGTTTGTGGCCATTTTGTACTGGCCAGAGTGAGAGCCTATAGCTGGCTGCCATGAATAGGCAGAAAGATTCTATTGGCCAGTGTGAGAGCCAACAGCTGACTGACACGAATGTTAACTAGCATGCAAAAAAAAAAAAAAAAAAAAAAAATATCGATAGTTGCATTCGTCACAAGTGGAAAAATTTAAATCTGCATGGCACTTTTTACTCCAATTGGCTCATTCGCTTGCTTAAACTCAACGTTGATTCTGATTCCAAGAAACTGGGTTGGGTCTTGAAAAAGTATTTGTTGTTAACATTCTTTTTCATTCGGTTTTTTCCAGTTCTGAGTCCTTTTTAAAGCTGATCGTTTTGTGTTCATTTTGTTTAATTCTTTTTTTCATAATAGATTTAATGTTTAGTAGAGAGCTTAGAAAAAATTTGCAGTGTGAGATAGGCAAGAAGTAAGGCATGTAGCAACATCAGCACGGCAAAGGGCACTCCTTTAAAGGCAAGGAAGGGGAAAAATATTTTAAGTCAAGTGATAGCGATTGCTGTACGAGTCGTACGATTTTTGAATCAAGCATGGGCAACGCCGGGCCATGCTGCTAGTAACTGACTATAGCTGAAACATTTATTCAAAGCACAACATTAGTAACAATACAAATAATAAATAAATAATAAAAATAAAAAATCAACAAATGATAAACACAATGCTTTTATATCAAACAAGATACTTGTGTTTTTTCTGTTATTTTCTTAATCAATTCACCCAAGCAAGGTGATAATGCCACTAAATCAAAGGGCTACTGAGAGTGAAGGAGAATGAAAAGAAGCCAGAAACACAATAATAATATAAATTTCAGTGTTCAGGCAGAGACATTAGAAGTATAAAGTTGAAGTAGAGTTTAGAAGGAACCAGAAACCCAATCATAAAAAGGAAACAAGGGATAAATCCCTACTCCTGTTCAAAAAAAAAAAAAAAAAAAAAAAAACAGGGAAGAGGGTGTACTGGTCAATAGGTGAACCTCACTACTCCTCTTATGGAAAAAATAAATAAATAAAAAATAAATAGTAAAAATTTCAGTGTTTAGTTAGAGACATTAGAAGTACAAAGTTGAAGTAGAATTTAGAAGGAACCAGAAGCCGAGTGTTTCTAAAATGTAATACAAGATGAATGTCATAAAAGATAAAAATTCCTAAAAATAAATCCAATAGAAATGTTTCAAAATTAGAAGAAAATTAATAATTTTAAATTTATTTTGTTTCTATTTAAAACATAACAGAAACAGCTACATAGAAACATACCATCCCTACAGGACAGTGGCAATCATGGCTCTCCACAATTTCCTGTCCTTTATAACTCTTTATAAATGTTTTTTTTCTCTCTCTCTCCTAAACCCTGTTCTGCCATCCATTTACTAAAGCTTTCTCTGTCCCTCTTGCCATCAGTCTACCCTGTGAGTATCAAATTTTCCAAGCCTTTTTTCTCATTATGGGGGGGGGGAGTAGGTATACAGTAAGGAAAAACAAAATAGGCACACAAGACATCTTGTATTGATTATACAAGCAGATCAATAATAAACATTAATTCCTCAAATGTTCAAGCTGTTTGCAGTCATCATTCACACACCTGAATTAAATGAATCCTAGAATCATTATTATAATACTGGTATAATATTTACCGTATACCTACTTTTGCAGCCCCCGGTATATGCCTTAGAAATGCCAACTACCTCTTTGTTATGTTAAGTATAAGTGTTCTTTTTGTTTCCATTTTTCTAAAACTTCATCATTGCTCACATGTTCAGTCCATGGTATTCTCAGCATCCTTCTGTAGAACAACATTTCTATTACCTCAAGTTTCTTCTTCATCTGTGTGGAGATTATCCAGCATTTATTACCATATGATATTGGAGGACTGATATTACATTACAGCTCAGTCCTCTTTACTTTGCTTCTGATGAAATTTTCCTGATTCTTAATACTTTACTTAGCTTTTGGAAGGTAAGAAAAAAGTTTAAACTTTGGATCATTTACTTATGATGACAGGAGCAGTGGTGTATAGGGATCAAGAGTAAGCGGGACTGATTAAAAAAGTAGCATGGGAGGGGTCATGGGCCAGAGGGAGGGGATGAAGTATCTATTTTTCTTTGATTGAATAACCAACCTCCCCACATTGATACAAAAGATAATATGATAATAAATAATGCTCAAATTCAATGTCAGCTCTCATTAGCCATGGGTTTTAAATGGAAAAGATTTTTGCTGTTTTTTTTTTTTTCTTTCTTCCTTCACACAATCTATGGTCTTCACTGAGAATTGTGTTTCAGTTATTGCTAGCTGCTACAAAATTGGGGGCTTTTTTTTCCAAAATGAAAGCAAAGAACAATAAATAAATCACAACTATCCTGTTTTATATTTACCAAAAATCAGGGAATTATACTGTAATTTTTCTAAAATTTACTTTTAGAATAAATGTTTTTCTATTCACTATCTTGAGTGGCTCTTGAGCCTTGTATTGGGTGAACATTATTAAAAAAAAATCCTTCCTTGTCTTTCGAACAGGAGTAACATCTTGGGTATGACGATAAACTACATCCAATAGAAAGGCCTCTGATCATACTCATCTTCATTGCTATATTCATGATGTCTTGGCCATTGTACGCTCCAGCCTACTTCAGGTGATATTATCTGGAATTTCAGACCAAACCCTTTATTTAGTCCATATCTTAGCTTCAGTTATCTCCCTTTAGTAACTCAACTCTCCAAGGTTTTGTTCTCTCCACTGAGGTCAGGGCTCGATCTTGCAACTCTGTGGATCAAGTCACTTTTTAGCCTATTCAACCAACATTTTTATCTACTGGGCCATGTGTCCTTGGGAATCAGAACAATCTACTCCCAAACAAAGGGTTTGGTTCAAAATTGCAACTAATATCACCTGAAGACGGCCGGAGCTTATAATAGCTGAAACATTGTGAATATAGCAATAAAGATGAGGACAACAGTTTGAACAATGTAAAGAGTTACAATACTTCATTTCAGAAATATAAACAGAGATTTCCATTCTGTTTTAGGTAAAAGGTAAGCATTACCTTTAGAAAATCCATTTAATTAATCCATAAATTTACTTCAAGACACATCTCTGATATAAACATTGGAGTTTAAAGAGATTTTTAAATTTGTTTACATTTTTCATATACAGTGGCAGTTCAAAGAGTTGATGAGTGACAAAAAGTACTAATGTTTTAAAAAAGCCTAAAATGTTTATTTATATACAGAAATTAATTTTTCTTTTATTTCAGATTAGCTTTAGACCATTATATTTCAGATAGAACCAAAATTTAAGTTCAAAGAAGGCATTTAAATTATTTAAAATGCATTTTTCAATTTTTTTTTTTTAGAAAGTCTGGGTTAGCAGCAGGATACTTTGGCATGTCTAGATACAGGCCTCTCTGCAACTGGTTAAGATCCATGTCTTTGTAAGATGCCTCATGCCAATAAAAGCAGAGGGAAGATCAGCAGTCAGCAGTTGGGAAGACACTGCATCTTATGAAGTTGGTCCTGTGAGCATTTTTATTGTTGTTGTTTCCAAGGCAGTGTTATTTTTGTTACCTCCTGTCTCTCTCCTATTATCCCTGTAGTTGTTGGGAGAGCAATTGGTTAGGTGTTTCCTCCCAATCTCAACAGACACTTTTCTTACAAAATTATATATATTATATATATATATATATATATATATATATATATATATATATATATTAGTTCAAACATTTTTAGTGGATACAAGCATTTCAAATAGATGCCCGATTCTTTATTTTAAACAGTGAGTAATTACATCCACTGGTCCACACACTTCAGAAATCTTAAGAAAATTTGATCTTGGGCAGGGCTGTGAAGCTCTCTGTGGCTGAGCAGTCTAAAGCACTACAGATCAATCAGTGGTTTCTCCTACAAAAGGAGAAGCAGATTTGCACCCTGCTTGAGAGCACAAAACTTGGAGAGGATGTCAACTACAATCTCAAGAAATTTAAAAGAAGACATGGCTTGAAATAGATTTTTTTTTAATTTTTTTTTTTATACTAAAGTTCACTGAATAACAAGGCTCAAGAACCATTCAAGGTAGAAAATTACTGAATGAAACATGTAAAAGATGGAAGGAAGTGAAGATGATGAGGACAAGAAAGATAAACAGAGGCTGAATGTTGACTTGAACTTAAGATTGTTGTATTTTCGGAGTTTGTTCCACAAAATATCAGTTCTCAGGGAAAAGCAGTTCAAGTAGAACTTTTTTTTTACAATTGGTATACAAAGGAAGTATGGATGATTTAAGTTCATGAACATAGTGAGGCTTAGCTATAAATGTCTACAGAAGTGCTGTGTAGTAGGCTTCCAAAATATCCAACCTTTGTATAAAGACTGATTATTTATTTTATTTTTTTTTTTAACAGCTTATCAACCTTTTCCAGGTTATTTAAAACCAGGAAATATTTTTAGATTGTAAGAATATTTTGAAGAAAATAATGATTTACTAATACAAGTACTAGTAATTAACCCATAGCTGAGGAAAAAAGAGGTGGATTCATATCTTTCCAAAGGTTATTTGCACATAACTATAAGTGAATATAACGAACCCAACTGGAATTGGAACTTGGCTTTCCAATTAACAATTCTGAGTCATTATCCATTACACCTCACCCACACATTCAAGCTTACAGCACCTGGTATTCCCAAGTGGTCACCCATCAAGGTATTTACCAGGCTCAACGTTACTTAACTTCAGTGATCGTACAAGAACTGGCTGTAAGCTCCTTTGTATCAAGAAAAGACAATCAGCTAGATAGTGAATAGATGTGTGTAAAACAGAGGTTTGGGTCGAGTGTGTAAATAATCATAAAAATAAAAACTACATTAAACATCTTTAAACTTTAAAAAGAATGCATTGAATACATTCAGTCAGTCAGTAATAAAAACACTGACCCACTCTACTTAATATTTTTGACAGTGTACACTTAATGTACGAGCCAAAGACCCATTCTATGAGCAGAGAAAAGAAGTTCTCTTGTCTCTAAAACTTCTGTATAAACAACATTTTCAGCAAGACATCTATTTTCTATAGTTCTTTGTAATTTTGCTAACTCCACTTTTTTTTTTTTTTTTTTAATCATTACACCCCCAAGCAAGGCAATAATGCCACTAAGACACAGACAGTTACAGGGAATTAAAGAGAATGAAAAAACTTTAGTGTGGAGAAGTGAAGAAAAAACATAATAAAGGAACAGGAGTCACAAAGACAAAAAATGCCGACTGACATTGCATTTAAATTTTTGAAGATTGAAGGAGGTGGGGAAGCAAGAAATTGAAAAGTAGTTCCACAGGTGAGAAGTGCAAGAAAAGAAACTATTAAAATAGAACTGATGGTTGCATCTAATGAGTGAGTACTAGTTGCCAATCTAGTAGCATGCTTAAATTCAAGCAGTTGAGACACCAAGGAGGAAAGCTCATCAGAACAATTGCCATGAAAATTGTTGTAGAATTTCTTATTCAAGACATAGTTACATACAGCTGACTTGAATAACATTCTAATGTTTATATTAATAATAAAATTTAATTCAGTAAACTTAATATTTTTTAACTTGTTTAAATAATTTTGTACAATTTTAACAAAATTTAATTAAACATATTATTTTGACTAATCCCATTAGAAACTTGGCAATGTGTGTGCCTTCAAAAACAAAAATAGCATGTTTAAAAGGACAGTTATTCCCATCACACCACTATTTCACTTTTTTTTTTTTTTTACTCCATCAATGTTTATTGTTTTAAAAAGTGACAATTAGAATTTTAATAAAACCAAAACATATGAAAATGGATTTATACATTTTCTTTAATCTTGAGAATTAACAACAAAGATATCAAACCCTATTTATTTATTAGATTGCTTATTTACAAGAATAATTTTATATTTACAAGATTATAAAAATATTTGAACCAAATAAAATGAAATATTTATTATTCACCTTTTCATAAAGAAATAAATGTGAAAAGAAATGTTTTTATTCATAAATTTATAAAAATATCTGTGAAAAAGAAAATTTAAATAAACATAACGATGAGTAACTAATTATAAATTTTGAAGAAATGCATTTTCCAGGCTTTTCTTTCATTTGCTCTCACCACACAAATTCACTAAAATAGGTTGAGAGCATCTGAACCAAACATTCTTTTAATTTTAGATTTTAGGTGAGACGACAAACACTCAAAATATTGAGTGTGTATCTTCCTATTCATTGGATGGACAAAGTTTTCCTTGTGTTTAATCACAGAATGTCTAATTTTTACCACAAATATTGAAGTGTTTACATATTTTGATAATTTTGTGATTTTTTATAAATTTTTGAATAAAAAGATTTTTCAAGTTTATTTTTTTTTTTTTATAAAATGGTAAATAATAAAACTTTATAAAAGGTAAGTAATAAATATCACATTGTAGTTGGTTCATATATTTTTATAATCTTGTAAATAAACATTGCCAAATGAGAACATTGTAATAGTGGTGTCAAGGAATTAACCATTCTTTGACACACATTTTTTTTTTTTTGCAGGCACAAAGGTTAAAAATTGCCAAAGATTTTTTTCTCTGTTCCAGTAATTTTCATTAATGTGAAATATCAGATGACAACAATGCTTATTATTATGAATGAACACTGTAGTTTTTCTAACTTACAAGTGAATTTTGACAAGACAAATTCTTTCCATACAAACAAAAAAAAAGAAAAACTTTATTGACAGAAACAATGCTTGTATGTTGACAGATTAAATATTTATTAAAATATGTTTGAAAAATTCTTATGCAAATTAAATGTTACTGCTTATGTTGTAGATGACATTTGTTAGTAATATATCAAAAAAATCCTTTATTTATTAGTAATATGGACGGGGCTAATTTTGTCCAAGGTTGGATCACATGGACAAAAATTTCACCTTACACAAATTTCTAAAAAGATGAAAAGCTATCATGTAGGCATTATCAATAATTCTATGCTATACTTTGAGAGGCTATTAGGCCTTAAACTAACCCCAGACCTCAAGTGGAACTCATACATATGATCCATCACTAAATATGCTGACAAAATGGTCCATTCCCTGTACTGCTCCAGTAAAACTCCTCCTGCTATCATCTACAAGAGCCAGATCAGGCCCAAAACGGAGTGCTGCTGTCATAATCAAGCAGGAGCTGCCCAGTCCTCATTTTCCTATCTTGATAGATTCCTTGTGGGTGATGAATTATTTTCAACACTGCAACCTCTCTATCTCACAGACAGGATGTGGCAAATCTCTTGCTGCTCTATTGCTACTTCCATGAAAAGTGTGCAGACAAACTGTATTCTTTGATTCCGCTAGTTCTAACCTTCCTGGCCAGGACTCACCATGCCACTCACATTGTACCCTCATTTCCACTATATTCCACTGATGAGAAGCAAGTACCAGTTGAGCAGCTTCTTCCTACAAATCACTACTCTGTGGAACCGGATGTTACCACCGTCACTACAATCTTAACAGTTAAGCGTAGACTTGAATAGGTTATATTTACCTCTTATTTGCAAAAACTGTGCCTCTTACTCTGTAACCCTCTGTAATCTCGAGTGGCTCCCAAGCCTTGTACAGGGTAAACCTCACAGTAAAAAAGAAAAAGAAAAAAAAAGAAAAAGAAAAAAAAAGAAAAAGAAAAAAAAAGAAAAAAAAAAAAAAAGAAAAAAAAAGAAAAAGAAAAAAAAGAAAAAGAAAAAAAAAGAAAAAGAAAAAAAAAGAAAAAGAAAAAAAAAGAAAAAGAAAAAAAAAGAAAAAGAAAAAAAAAGAAAAAAAAGAAAAAGAAAAAAAAGAAAAAGAAAAAGAAAAAGAAAAAAAGAAAAAAAGAAAGAAAAAGAAACAGCTGTGTATCATCCATGGAGATCATCATCATCCTCATCATCAAAAAAGACAAACATGATCATCATAGTAACATTTGCATTTAAACATTATTTAATCAGTCATTTAATGTTTGTCCTAAATTTGTTTTAGCAAATTTCAGCAATCAAGCAAGGATTTTCAGTGATCAGGAAATTAAACTATTTTGTGCATAATGCATTGGAAGTTATAAAAGAAAACAAGTTGTCAGTAGACAGGAATTCATGTAATCATTACTAACAGACAGCCTTCATTGTGTCCTGTGAGTGTTAAATTCTCCAAGCCTTCTGTTTTTTTTTTTTATACAATTGTTCACTCAATACAAGGCTCAAGAAGCATTCAAGGTAGAGAGTTAATAAATGAGGTTATTGCATAAAATGTAGATTGAGCACATTTAAGATAGATAACAGTTGACACTAAACTTTAAGACGTTAACATCATAGTGATCAGGAAAGCATCTCCTTGGGAGTCTATTCCATAAACATTTCTAGAGAGGAAGCTGTCAGATTGAAATGTCTTCATTATCAATGGAATCCTGTGTATATTGGAAATAGCAATAAGTGTAGCAAGAGGCTAGCAATGTTTCATCTCTGGGAAGGAAAGGAGCTGTAAGGTGGAAAAATAATTCATCACTCACAAGGCTACATAAACACTTTTGAACAATGTCATAGTTGGAAAGTAAAAATTGGGCAGCTCCAGCCCAGAGATGGCAGCAATTTTTTATTTAATCTGACACTTGTAAGGAGATAATGGCTTTCCACAACTTCCTGTCCTTTGTAGCTCTTAATAAATTTTGTCTTTTGGCTATCTCTCCTAAACCCTACTCTGCCATTCATTCACTCAAGCTCCCCAGGTAGGTTATGCATTCTTTTCCACTGTCCCGCTTTCAATCCATCCTGTGAGTATGAGATTTTCCAAGCCCCCTTTCCTAATTATGTGCCCTAGAAATTTCAACTGCCTCTTTCTGATTTTAAGGATACCTTTCTTTTGTTCCTGTTATATTTAAGGTACCCTCATTGCTTACATATTGTATCCATGGTATTCTCAGCATGAATCTGCAGGAGAAGATCTTTGACACTTCAATTGTCCAGCATCCACTGCTATAAAAGAGAATTAATATCACATACCAAATTCAATACTCTGTTACTAACAACATTTTCTTATCGGTTAATACTTTAATTTCTGGAATGCATTTTTGCCATTCCAACATGCTTTGGTATTTTCTAATGAACATGTGACACCTACCCTAAATATTTATCAAAACATGTCAGGTTCTTTTACGTTTCATCTAATATATCCCAATAAAAGGTCAAATTCATGAGACGTTTTTTTCTAACATCTTCTCTGAAAATCTGGGATTATTTACATGCAAACTATTATCCTCATCTTTGTTGTTATAGCAGTGTTTTGACTGTTGGGCTCTCCTGCTGTCATCAGGTGCTTGTTGATCTGAGTAATCATCAGGGAATTCCCAAGTGAACTCTTTATTTAATCTACAGGGATAGATCAATCTCATTCTGCTGATCATGTCTAGGGACATCTCATTTTGTTCTTATTTATTACTGCTGTTATTGTTTCAGTCCGAGTCCAGGGATTGAACTCACAATTACTATATCATCAAATTCATGATCCACTGCTTTAATCCACTAGGCTATTGTATTGAGTACCCAGTGATGGATGCTGCTACTGCTGCCATATTTGACTGAATTCACTGAGGCTTCTCTCTCTTTTTTTTTTTTTGTTATATATGGTGGCCATTAATAACTCAAGACTTCAATGTTAAAATAAAACAATATTTAATTACAACCACAAATAAATACTTAACAAGACCAAAGAAGTAAAAGTCAACTAAAGA